AGGAAAAACCTTCCACATTCCCTCTCTCTAGTCCTTATAAGATGAAGGGAAGGAGGTAAAAAGCCGAGAAGAGTTTTCCCTCCTGCCAGGATGAAAGCCTCTTTTACTTGGGAGAACATTAGGAGAACAAACTACCATCACAACAGGAGGGGGAACAGTCAACCGCGGCGTGCTCTCACATCAAACACAACCACCATTAATATTGTAATGCTCCCTCTCTGAGTGTTTGAAATCAAGACAGCCAGTGTGGTCATTCGGAGAGCTGGTTGCGGAGGTCACTTTATTTGGGACGATACGGCTTTGAAATGACACTGAACAACACTGTGGCTGCAGTGTTGTTCAAGCTGGAGTCCACGATTTGTAGGAGCCAGATTCATGTACCTTGACTTTCACTTTTTTTTCTCTCTTTCTTTTCAGTCTGTTTTAAAATGACTAAAAACTGTAATTTTTTCCTTCTTTACATCTGCCTGCCAACATTTCTCAGTTGTGTTGTTCATGTTTCTGCACTCTTATTGCCTCTTTATTTCAGATTTCTTTCTAAAGTCTGCAACAACAAAACAAACGAAGAAAAACAGCATGAAAAAACTAGGCATAAGAATATGGTGAGTGCGACTGTTGATGCACGGACTGCACATGCAAGTCCACGTGATAAGGAGTATACACCATGGGAATAATAGTGGGCAGCAGATACTATATGTGTATGCATGAGCATCGAGTGGTTGCTATTGATCTCCTGTGGTCTGCCAGCGGGATGTAAACACTGTGTCTTTCAACAGGAAGCGCCACTCAATACAAGCAGCCGTCAACTGCTTCACAGAAAACACAGCGCACAGACGCTTATCAAATCAGCACACACAGCTAGAATATGTGACCTGTGTGTGCGTGTGTGCATGTGTGTGTGTGTGTGTGTGTGTGTGTGTGTGTGTGTGTGTGAAAGAGACATACCATACAAACTTATATGCACAAGTAAGTGTATGTAAAATATGCACAAACATGCATCGTCGTTGGGTGAAAGCTGTGTAACGGAAATAATTTTGATGATTTTGATGATTTAATAACTGAATGACCACAAGCTACTCTGTGGGGTCATTCTGCAACATTTGGCCCAATGAATAAGCAATTAGAAGAGATTCAAAACTGTTTCGGCGGTCCGGCTAAAAACAACACTGTTTTCGTTCATTCCTCAAAACTGGACAGTTTGGAGATATGAGGTTTTCACCTGACAGCAGTAATATACTAAAAATCAAAGTGACATCTATCTAAACATATACTCACAGGAATACTACCGCCTTCACACACACACACACACACACACACACACACACACACACACACACACACACACACACAGCATGTAAGCTGTGTCTGGAACAAGCAGAAACCCATCAAACTTCACTGCAGAGATAATCCATGTGCCAAATCTAAGATGAATCTATGTAATATTGATTCTGTCCGGGCGCTGCACTAGTCCGCTAACAACCCATGAATAACCGACCGTGGAGGACACTTACACACTGAGCGCATCTGGCAGAGAATCCCTAAGTGTGTGTTACGCTTAAATGTTTGCCCTCTATTAACTTCCTGCAGGATTTCTTTTCACTCAGGTGAAGATTTGGGGAGTCTCTCAGTGCCTTCTCATCCCAGGAACAGAAGTCCTTGATGCTCTGTGTCTGATTCAAAGGCCTGATGCACAGATTTTGCTCTGGTGAGGAGTTTTGTCCATGTTTAACAACTGTGGTCAGATTCAATACTTGCTGAGTGGATATTCTATTTAAGCTCATACAAATAAGAAATACTCAGTAATTGTGCATGTTAAGTATATTGTGCAATATGATGTTTGGAAAAGTAATGTTTTGAAATAATTCTAATAAAACATCTCAGAGTGACAAGTATGAAAAAAAAGCCCTGTACACATGAATCTGTTTATAATGGTCCAAACTGAGTCTAATGAAAAGTTGCAACAAGTTTTGTGTCGTTTGTTTTGCATCCAATGCATGAGATAAGTTCCTTTCCCGTTAATTCTGATGTGCTTCACATATCACAACAAATGCCATTCTTGCGACCACCCATGCATGAGCACGCAAGAGAGGCATAAGTTTATATGGGGCCAAAAAACAAAATCATGAAAAGCTGCCACCATTTGCGATCTGTGTTGGAGAAGTGCTTTGAAATTGCTGTTGTCAAAAAAAGTCTGTAGGACAGATTTGTCATTTGAATAAGGAAAAAGAAAAAGAAATGACATGATGATCTGAAATACTGATCTGTCCTTTATGTTTTTTTGTTTGTTGATTGACGATTTTCATTTTTCTGACAGCCACATCCAGGAGTTCGAGTCCGTGTTACAAGTATCACAACACAGGGGCTCTCAAACATCTGCCTCCAGTTATCACAGCTCTCACTCACCACAGTAAGATACAAACACACACACACACACACACACACACGCACGCACGCACACACGCACACCACTCTGTCAGCGTCTGGCCGTGGTGTGTTTTGCCACTCCACTCCTCCGGTTTCCCAACTTGTGTTTCTGGTAAAGGGCCATTTTAGTTCCAGCTCAGGCCTGCGGCGGAAAGCATCTCCCCGAGGAAAATAAGCATGACTCGCTCCAGTGAAGACATCTGCCCTTTGAAAGCGAGCGTGGCTGTTTGAACAGCTGTCAGAGCACACCGTGCGTCTCAGACCTTCCCTGATAAAACAGAAGCAAGTCTGGGAGGGAAAATCGACAGAAGAAAGACGCTAAATGGACGGAAGGTGACGTCCACTGGCAAAGGCACACGAGGCAGATGGGAAGAGGTGCCCCTACCCGCTTGTTGTGTAGACTGCTTAGAAGCTAAGAGAGGATCTACAGCACTTGATCATCTGTGCTCAGAACTGGAGAATATGGTAAAAAAAAAAAAAAAAAATGTTCCTGTTGGGCAATCTGTGCCACATTAACACACTCTTGATCCAACAGTGTGTGCCACTGTGTACAAGCTGACATTCCTACACATCCTTCTGTAGTCAGCACTAGAAAGAAGTGCTAGAAAGAAGTGCAAATCTCCGAGACAAGTCGTCAGTTGCAAAACTGAAGAAAATGAATGTTGTCTCAATGTGTTTTCTACAAAACTTTTTATTGTTATTCAGAAGACAGCTGGCACAAGCGTCATTGGAAACCCGCACAGACAGTAACTAATGAAGAAAACTTAAAAAGTATGAAAGTAGGATTTTATGGTCTAGTTTGTGGTTGAGTGAGTGTGTGCGTTGCCATCGCCGCTGCAGTATGCGAGCAGTAGACGAGCAGTAGACGCTCTCACACCCCAAGAAGATTTCAAGCTTAAGACTTTTGGTCCTGAAGTGACTGTCTGTTACCCAGTCAAGAGGAACAAGTGTATGTCAGACTTAGAAAAGTGCTGGGAGCTCAATTGCATTAAAGCTCTTAGTTTGCCTGAGCTCCAATCTAATTGGATAAAGCTGGAAAAGCAGCTTCCAATGTGCTCGAATCCATTTTTTCCCCCCCATTTTTTATTTTTTTTGGGTTGGGGGGGGATAGATGTTCCCCATGTTCTGTTCCATCTCGTCTTTTGTCCTTGTCAACATTCCCCAAATGAGATTCCCAAAATCAGGAGGTGAGGGGTGCACGCACGCACGAGTGCACAGAGCAAACATTGTCAGACAGACACACCTCTCACACCAGCATGCTGGCTGGCATCTCTTCCTTTCCCGTCCTTATTAAAATTCCGTATTGAGATTCCTTCCTGCCACTCCGCCTCCCTGGCCCTGTCACTCAGCCACCAACCGGCGACAAAATCAGGAAGTTTCAACAAAGACACACACATATGCACAGAAGCACACACGGCACACAATCCAAACTTTTCTTAAGACAACTCGTCCCTGCTCCCGCCCTTTATGTGTGGGATGAAAGTTTTCTTTAGGTGATATGTATGAGAGCGTGTATCAGCGTCTCCCCCTCCTGCCTTCGCCTCTCTCCATCTCTGCCCCCCCCCCCCCCCCCGTTCATTGTCATTATTTTCGATGGTGTCCCCCTCTGATCTGCCGAGCCGTTGGGTGCTCTCTCTCCTCTCTCTCTCTCTCTCTGTCTTTGTCTGGTCCCTTTCATCTGTCAGGCGCTCCCCTTGGCGGCCGCCACTGAGGGGGTTTGATTTCCCATCATGCCTAGCATTGCCTCCCTGACTCCGGCTCCCTCTCTCCCTCCCCTCTCCTCCCCCTCTGAGGCGAGTGTTGTGCCCCCGCGTCGTTGGGCAATTATCCCCGGGAGTAATGAGGAGCGTCTCTCCCTCCACGGCAAGCTGACTGACACCTCTCCCACTCATTTGTCAACAAATCAGACGGCTGGTGTGGGCGGCCATATTGAGCTGAGGGTTGTCGTTGGGAAGCTCAGGCTGAGACGCATCGCCACGTCTCTCTCTCTCTCTCCCTCTCTCTTTTTCTCTATCCTCCTCCATCCTTTCCTCTATCTCTGCCACCTCGTTATCTCTGACAGGGTGTCATTCGTTCCAACTCTTAACTCCTCCTATGTCAACCCTCCATACGCTCCCATGTATTTGTGTTCCTCAGCCGCCAAGAAAAGTCTCACTTCCAATAGGCCTAATGGTCATATGTGGCTAATGATCACTAAGCTGTATAAGTGACACTGTTCAATTTATTTGTGTCAAAGTCAGTTGCAGCCAGTCGCTGTAAACACTTTGCCCAACTAGACGATAAAGACTAGAGTGCAAAAGGGAAAATATTTTCAGATACGTCTTTACTCATAAAGGCTCCTTTCAATTTGTCACCTTTAGTCGACGCAGCTGTAGAGGATATGTAAATCTCATCCGCCTTGTCATGTCAGTGTGAGCGAGGTCTTGATGTGCTCAATTAAACGCTGCATATTTCACAGCATACTTTTAAGATGTGAGATGAGGGACTTTGTGTGAGCTTTAGACACAGATGCGGATGCGTACCAAAACATGCATGTGCACGCGTGTATGGTTTCTGTGAGTCGAGTGAGTACTCACTGTGCTCTTTGCGCTCCTCCGGGCTCGATGAAGCCTCTCCGTCAGACAGCAGGCCAGACATGGAGAACAGCTTCCTCCCCGAGTCCTCCCCGGTTTTGAGGGAGCCTCCCGAGGAGCCGAAGTCAAACTCCTTCCCCTCCACCTCCGGGAAGCAGCTTTTCAGCCTCTTGGCAGGGGTAAAAGCCGACTGGTAACCCCCCGACTCCCTCTCCTCTGGCGGGGAGGCGAAAGGTCGGAAGGCGCCCACCCCGCTGTGGTTGAGCATACCAAGGGTGGAGCAGTCCAGGTTCGGTGGGGTGAACTGGGGGTGCAGGTGGAGCAGGGAGGCTGGGAAGTCTCGGGAGGGAAAGGTGCCTGACATGGGGCCCTGTCGCTGATACATGGAGGTGAACGTGTAGGAGGCTGAGGGGAAGGGAAGGTGGAGGTCCTTCTCTACAGAAGCAGGGACACCGAAGGGCCTGGGCGCCTGGCAGGGGACGGAGGCGTCTCGGCCGGCCTCGGCAGTGGTGGCGAGGACCATCAGGGCAGGGGAGGCCAGTGGAGCTGGCAGGTAGGAGGGGCTGTCCATCTTGAAGGGGCGGTGAAGGTCCATTCACCTCCCTGTTAGTGGTCCTGAGGAGAGGGAGAGGGAGAGGACAGAGTTGAGGTGGAGCGTAAAGGCTGAGCTACATCAGGACATGAAAGGGAAAAACTTGTTTCAAAGGGTGACAAACAAAAAGTAACTATTTTCCTTTCACCTTCACTGGATTGTAACAGGCTTATTAATTTGAGCTATCTTATGAAGAAATAAGTTTGATTTAGGTTGAAATCGAATATTATTTAAATTTTGTAAAGTCAAAAATGAAATTGTTTTATGATCCCTGAGCCAAAATTCTTCATCTCTTCATTTTATGAAACACACCCAGTTGCAACTCTGGAGGCATTTTTACAATTACAGTTTTGGACTAATTTCATTTCATTTAAAAGGGTTGGAGGAGGCCTACTGTGCCTGTAAATAATTACAACGGAATAAATTGCCAATAAAACACACATGTAGGCGAAGCCTGCAAAAGATAAATTTAATAGTGAGGTATAAGCAATTAGATTTGGGAAAATCCTCTAAATACTTTCGGAAAAAGTAGGATTTGTCTTGTTTTTTTCTCTGTAAAGAATTAATTATCTCAGTAAATCAATAAACTGTAAATGGTGCTGATTGTGGCCAATAAAATAAACTCATTGGTGGGTCTTTTTAAGTAGAATAACGGTCTCGGGAATAAAAGTTTCTTAACATTTCTGCCCTTAAAATGTAAAACAACAATCTATAAAAAACGCAGCCTAAAAGGATTAAACGAAGGTAATTTTTTAAATGACAAGCTAAAAGTTGAACAATGATGAATTCCAATCGAAAAAAAACCCCGGCTTCATCTAATTTGCGATTTCACTGTTTCTTAAACTGAAATTTAAAAAAGATCTACTTGGCATTAATCCTGAAAAAGAGGCCTAAATATGAAAGTGATGTTCCCGTCCATTGATTCACTTTTTTTGAACTTGCATCAGTCTTTTTCTGGTTTATGAACCAAAACATCTGCTCTTGTAATTAACCAGGATGAGATAAGAAGTTGTGCAATCGAGTTTTTTTTTTTTCTCAACAAATTAAAAACAAAACAGCCTATACTTTGCGATTCAGTGACAATACACAGATACCATGACACACATCTAACAGCGCAGAGGAGGTCGATATTTGACCCTTCAATTCGTGAAGAAATAACATTTTCTCAAAAGTCTTCACGCGCGTCTCAAAAGCGTCCGCAGCTCTCCAGCCACGGGGAACAAGTTCCCTCACCTCGGAGAAATAAGAAAAAAAAACACCACAAAGCCTCACACCCGACAGAGCACATGGCAATCACACAAGCAATTAAACCAATTAAAACAAATGAAGCTGTGATCACTTGTGTTATCACGCAGCATCAGCCGCCACTTACCGTGATGAAGTACTCAGAGCGGGATTTATTTCGCCGTTAAGCAACTCTCTCTCTTTCTCTCTCTCTCTCTCTCTCCCACACTGTCTCTCACTCTCCCTCTCTTTCAACTTATAATTTCAAGGACGCGGCACTTTCTCCTGGTGGCGCAGGAAAAGAGAGAAAAGGTAAAAAAAAAAAAAAAAAGAGAGAGAGAGAGAAAGACAGAAAAGGACGTGCAGCTGATGTGCGGGCAGCGTCGGTTTCCCCCAGTCCTCCTCCTCCAGATGTGGCGAGTGTTGAGGAGTTGAGGTCCGTGTAGTTGAGAGAGGTGTAGTCGCTGTGTTTTTGTGGGAAGGATCAGGGCATCAGTGAGTGGACTAGCTGCGGGTCGGTCTGCCTCTGTTGGTCTCCTTCATGCGCTTCCGTGTTACAGGCCCCCCCCCCCCCCCTCCTCCCGACCTCCCTTCCCCTCCCCACCCCCTTCTTCCCTTGCCCTCTTTTCTCTGTTGCCCCCCCCCCCCCCACAGCCTGCTCTCGCCCCCTGAGACGCACTGCCTGCGATGGACACATTCAATTTCTTGCCCTCGGTAAAGAGTGAAATTGAGTCAAAAGAAAAATGCAGTATTTTTGCAGAAGGAAAAAAAAAGTCTAGAAAAGCTTGTGGCATATAGCCTATAGGTGCCAGATCATATAACTGGGAATACAGAATCCAAAATCTGGATTTTTAAAAAAAAAAAAACCTGTACATCCTCTATTACAATCATTGTCTTATTGCTTTGTAATAATAACCTTTACAAGGATCACACCTGTAAATACCTTCAGATTTGGAGGACCCCCTCATGTCAGAGGTGTGAAAGGACACACATACTCCACATGAAGACTTTTCACCATTAAAGCCTGAATTCAGTGCATTAGTTAAACAAGTTAAGCCACTCAAGTCATCACTTTTTGAGTATGTGTGTTGGTGTCACTGCTTTGTTACTGTGAATGGCAGGTGATGGAGTCATCCTCTCCTCTGTGGCTCACTGAGCCTACAGTCTCCAGCCTGTGTGACTGACACTTGAGAACATTCCCTTTTGATGAGACACAATGCAAACCAATGGTATTATTTGTCACAGATAATCTGCTTTCAACTTCAACACATTACACACAGCGTAATATCTACATTATTCATATCTGATTTCCAGCACATTGTCAGAAAGCACAGCTCAGAGCGCCACAAATCAGCCCAAATCACTCTTAATTTGTTTTTATCGGTATTGGTATTGCTTAAAGACTTTTTGAAATAATGTAATTGAAATAATTCCTTATTCCCCGGAGCCAATCCAGAGGCTTTACACTGCTAATCTAATGTGACACGCAATTTCCGTCTCTCAGACGATTGCTTCCCCTCAGGTCCCTGTCTTTAATGAACAGCCATTTGGCTGTGAGCCTGTGTGCGTGCATGTGTGTGTGTGAGTGTGTGTGAATGTGTGTGTGTGTAATCAGAGAGCGAGAGAGAGAGAGAAAGTCCTGAGATAGGAAATGAGTGAATGGGGAATATCACAGCCAAGAAGAAGACATACAGAGGAGGCTTGCGGGGAGCCGTAGCTGGAAATCAGTGGGTGCTAACTCAGCCTGAAAACACACTGGATAATTGAGATATAAAAATAAATATTGACTCTCATGTCTACATTACCTAAGTCTGAAGAGAGCCATGATTTAGCCTGGACAGTTCATCTGTCCCTCACATCCTTTAGGTGTTCCCTGAGACGGAGCCCCCCATGTGCACCGCTTCCTCTCAATCTGAAAGACAGCCAGTTGGTGAAGAGGTAGAGGGCCAGACAGCAGATGCAGACCTTTAAATGGACACATAAACCAGAGTCCAGACTGACTCTCTAACAGTGTTGCCCTCAGACCAATATGGAAGCATGTAACACATGTCTTCTCTGTGCCAAGGCAAGGTCATTACTCCACTTAGGGAGCACCCTCTCCCTCACACATTGTTTTGAGGTTAGGCAACCAAATGCCACTACACACACTACACACACACACACACACTACACACACACAAACACACACACACACACACACACACACACACACACACACACACACACACACACACACACACACACACACACACAGGTCAGGGTTAGACCAAACTGAACTGAGATTCCCAAATCAAATCTGCTCAGGGGAAGGATGACGTTTGTTTCATTACACATCAATAATCAAAGGTCATCTTCAGGTTGTCAGATCTTTTAGGAAACTGTTAATCTATTCTTTTAGCAGGAAATGCCAAAAATATCCTTATTTGCTTGCTGATCAGTGAACACACTCGCTGCAAGTGGCTCAATTGACATTATGATTATTATTTCTACCCTGTTCCTCCAATTTGCCCCATGTGCTAGTGGCTGTGGGTGGTGTATAGTGGATGATGGGTGTGTGTCCTGCAGGCCCAGTGAAGTGTTAATGATGTGCCCGCTGCCTCAGCCAGGTTATGGCACAGGGGCCGTTAGCCGCCCAGGGTAAACTGCATGGCTCCTAGAATAAATTGCCACCCGGAGCCACGCAGGCTGGTCAGCCAGCCAATTACAGGCCTGCTCGCTCAGCTGAGGATGATGGGATGTGATGTTAATTGTATGTGTTCATTTTCTGGCAGGAGGTGAGTCACTTGGCTGTCTTCTTGACTGTCATACACACAAGCATTCACGCACAGAGCATAACATCTTAATGCATTCGGTTTATGCTCTGATTTGGTCTCTTTTCGTGTCTTTGTTGGTTCTGCGAGCTGCACAACTCCATGTCTGGTGTCTCTAAGATTGTTTGTTTTTTGACATTAAATAGAGTTTGGAATCATTTTCAAGCAAATTTAATAACATTTAAAATTTACAGCTTAGTTTCCGTGGTGTGTAATTCCCGACAAATAAGAGATGAGTCGAGGCAAATTAAATCAACATGATGAGAGTTCTCCACTTCTTTTATTACGATGCCAGAGGTCATCGGTGGAGTCTTTTAACCTTCTGTATGTGTAATTAGAGTGTTGAACAGTAAATAGTCTTGCCTTTATTTTGTTCTCTTCCCCTGTATTCCCAGATCTTGTTTTTTGGGGGGAGCAAGCAGTAAACTAAGTTACTGCTGTAATCATTTCCACAGACCAATTAGCGATAATTACCTTTTGCTGTGAGACTCACAATCTCCAGTTATTGTAGATTGCCTTCAAAATTCAGACAATCACCTAATCAAAAGCAAAAGAATATAAAAACAGACAAAAATGAAAATTGTTTTTTGAAATGATTGCACCTGCTGGTAAAGCTAAAGAGAGATGTGTCCGATTCCGCAGTTGAAACAACAAGTGTGCAGGACGACGGAGTGCCCCAGCAGGATCCTCGCAGTGGCAGTAACAGTGGTGGAGATAAAGAGTGCTCAGTTCTCTGGAGTCAGTTGGGTAGTAGTTGCAAGGCGGAGTGCTACACTCTCCTCAGTATATCAACATAGAGACTGTCTGGTAGCAGTGCTATGGAGAGAGAGGTTAGCTACTATATTAACATAGGGAGAGACAGCGCCAGAGCAGAGCAGTCTGCCAAAGACTGAGCAGTGGAAGTGAGACAGAGAGAGAGGCCATCGACCAGACAGCTACAAGATGGAGTGGAAGGGAACGTGTGAGAGATGAGCTGTCGAACATGTGACAATGTGTGTGTGTGTGTGTGTGCGTGTGAGTGAAGGTGGAAGTATGTGTATGTGTGTTTGTGTGTGTGTGTGTGTGTGTGTGTGTGTGTGTGTGTGTGTGTGTGTGTGTGTGTGTGTGTGTGTGTGTGTGTGTGTGAGGGGGGGAGTATGTGTATGTGTGTTTGTGTGTGTGTGTGTGTGTGTGTGTGTGTGTGTGTGTGTGTGTGTGTGTGTGTGTGTGACAGCTCCCCAAAGCAGCCAGTGAGCGTGAATGTGAGGAGGAATACAGAGAGGTGCATTATGGTCTCAATCATTGATCGCTTCCTCCCAAGAGGGCTGGTGACTACCCCCACCACACACACACGCATGCACACACACACACACACACACACACACACACACACACACACACGCCAGCATCCTGTATGTTTGCACATTCTCCGCACACCCCATGTCGGCGGGCCAATACAGTTTGCATGTACTCAACTTTGTTTCTACACTGCTGAAGTTACTGGTAGTACTAGAAGTACTTTTATGAGAACACTGTGTATTTAAGTGGTTTTACAAGAGGCAAAATATTTAATAGGGAAAGAGAATAAGCAATGCAGAGTGTGTGACTTCAGGGAACATACTGTCCAATTACATTAGCTCTTTTACAATACTTTCTGACTCCTGTCTGTGGCACTCAGCTCCAAACCCATTTGTTTCTCCTTAAGACATAAATCTGGGTCACAAGTGGGTCACAAATGTGTAGTTTCAAATTTTAAAAAGGTTAAGACATTCCTTTATACAGCAAAGCACTGATGATGGCGATGGTGAATAACCGCTTCGTTTTCTATGGGATGCATGAAAATCACCTCACAAGGCATTGTGGGATACCAGACGATGCAGGTCTAGTTTCTACAATCCATCTTTTATATGACCCTTGCTTCAAATATCACAGGTGCAAAAATAAAAAACATTGTTTGTTACTCTTATGAGCACTGACATGCCCACAATGCTGAGCAAGAACTAACGGAGGAGATGCTGCACGATTTGTTCACAGTTACACAAATAGGTGTAAATTTGTTGGTGACTATTTTCAGCCGTATATTAATACACACCTGATGTGCTAAAATGAATATTTACAGTAGCGGTGCAGTGTATGTTGGACTGACTCAAAATTGACTTCAGTGTCCATGTTCATCGTAATGAAGGGACATGTCACCCAGTGTCACCCAATGTTGTGGCTCGCTGATGTGTTTTTGAACAACAATGAGGTCTATGACATATACTTGAAATAATGATATAATAGTAAAACTTGTACTAGTAGTAATACATTGGTCTTTTCATGAGGTTTGTTGACATTCATTGCCAGCCTTATCCTATAAAACGAATGCCTGCTCAAGGCTACTGTGTCAATGAAAGACA